CTTTTCCAAAATACTGTATTTAGAGGGAAAAAAGTGGTCCACACGGGGTTATTTCTAAAAGAACCTCTTCCTTTGAAATAACCGTTACTCCTTAAAAAATGAGGTTTATTTAGAAGGAAGGGGTGCTTTTTTAAATAACCCTGGTTTTTTAATTGAAATACGGTATTTCGGAAAAGCAGCTGGCCACAATTATGCAAATGAAGCGCAGGAAATTCAAATCTGTGTTTCATTTGCAATTTTGTTTGTCTGCATTTGCATTCCTCTCGAAGGAGGAATGCAATGTAGACATAACCTTTGTAATTGATGATGTGGGGGAAAAGTAAAATTATGAGTTAAATCAGAGTTAATTTTTTTAGCTTAGTTTTTGTGTTGCAGTTTTAATTATCAGTGCACTTATTTGTATGTTCCCCTGTTTTAAAACGAAATCACTAATCTAACTTTATAATGTCTAAATATTGGAAAAACTAGACTGCTACTAAGCTGTTAGGTAAACATGAACTCTTGTGTTTTTGTTTTTTTTTAATGCAACGCTTACCCAGTAATTCAATACCTTTTTTTGAACGGTTTTGGATTATGTGGTGATATAGAAGCATCTGACAGACACCTTTAGTATATTAGAATGAGGCATTCTCTTTAGTTGTTTAACTTGTACTTCTAAATAATGTAAATACATATTACCAACTTTATATGAATTTCTGAAAACTGTTGGTTTTGCTTGGTATATAAATCTTCTAGTCATAATAAGTACAGTTTGGCCCACTTTTGCCCTTCCAGTGTTCCTCAATTTCAAGGTTGAGGAACAACTTGTAGATCTATCACCAAAACAACCTCTCAGGCTATTTTACATGGGCTCTGGGAGCTAGACAGCTGTTATCTTTGTTAGCTATTAATGTTAAAATTTGTTGTCATGCTAGAAGTATTCCTACTAGGTACTAAGCCTCTGCAGTATTAGTAACTCTCAGTAAAGAATCAATTACATTAAATACCTTTAAAACTGCCACCAGTTACTCATTCAAGCACACCCCACATAAGGGATATGTTAGTGTATTTGTTTAAACAGTTAACCGATGAGCCTGGGCTCATTAGTTAGCCCTCATGGTTCCATGCAATGTCTCCTCACACTCCGCCCCCCCCTCCCTGCTGCCTCTATATGAGAGGTGGAGGGGAGGGAAGGGAAGAAGAGCTGGTACTTGCAAGGAGCTGCTGTGGAGCTGCCTTCCCCCCCATATATAAATGTGTAATTGCTGAAAATTTCAGCATTTACAAAAATCATTTACAAAAAATACACTTTAACATCCCTGCCTTACATCTCTGTAATACTGTTTCTATTTAATCTCTTCTTGTCCCCTCTCCAAATGTCACAGAAAAAGGGAAAACCAGCAAGTTTGGAAGACTAACAAATCTAGGTTCTGGTAGATTAATGGATCCTGTTGTGTTCCAGGGAGTATGTTCCAAAGTAGAGGATCTTTCAAAGATTGTGTTACAATTAAATCCATCTTCTTTGCACTGGGATCATTCCAGATCAAGTAATTTAGATGGGCATGACTGTAGAAATATGGTTTAAGGATAGAGGAAGTCTCTCAAACCATTTAGAACGGTAAAGGTCAGCACTTAAAACTCAGAGAACATAAGAACAGCCATACTGGGTAAGACCAATAGTCCATCCAGCCCAGTATTCTGTCTGCCAACGATGGCCAATACCAAATGCCATAAGAACATAATATAAGAACGGCCGTACTGGGTCAGACCAAAGGTCCACCCAGCCCAGTAGCCTGTCTGCCAATAGTGGCCAGCACCAGGTGCTCCAGAGAGAGTGGACCGAAGACAATGATCAAGTGATTTGTCTCCTGCCATCCCTCTCCAGCCCCCGACAAAAAGACAATGACCAAGCGATTTGTCTCCTGCCATCCCTCTCCAGCCTCTGACAAACAGAGGCCAGGGACACCATTTTATCCCCTGGCTAATAGCCTTTTATGGACCTAACCTCCATGAAATTATCTAGCTTCTCTTTAAACTCTGTTCTAGTCCTAGCCTTCACAGCCTCCTCTGGCAAGGAGTTCCATAGGCTGACTACATGCTGTGTGAGGAACTACTTCCTTTTATTAGTTTTAAATCTGCTACCCATTAATTTCATTTGGTGTCCTCTAGTTCATCTTTTATGGGAACTAATAAATAACTTTTCTTTATCTGCCCTTTCCACACCACTCATGATTTTATAGACCTCTATCATATCCCCCCTCAGTCTCCTCTTTTCTAAACTAAAAAGTCCCAGTCGTTTTAACCTCTCCTCATATGGGACCCATTCCAAACCCCTAATCATTTTAGTTGCCCTTTTCTGAACCCTTTCCAAGTCCAAAATATCTTTTTTGAGATGAGGAGACCACATCTGTACTCAGTATTCAAGATGTGGGCGTACCATAGTTTTATACAGGGACAGTAAGATATTCTGTGTCTTATATTCTCTCTTTTTAAATAATTCCTAGCATCCTATTTGCCTTTTTGACCGCCGCTGCACACGGTGTGGAAGTTTTCAGAGAACTGTCCCCGATAACTCCAAGATCTCTTTCCTAATTTGTCGTAGCCAAATTAACCCCTATCATACTGTACGTATATGTGGGGTTATTTTTCCCGATGTGCATTACTTTACGCTTATCCACATTAAATTTAATTTGCCATTTTGTTGCCCAATCGCTCAGTTTGGCAATATCTTTTTGGAGTCCCTCACAGTCTGCTTCTGTCTTGACTATCCTAAACAGTTTGGTATCATCTGTAAACTTTACCACCTCACTGCTTACCCCTTTCTCCAGATCATTTATGAATTAGTTGTAAAGGACTGGTCCCAGGACTGACCCTTGGGGGACACCACTAGTTACCCCTCTAGATATCCACCACTAGATATCCACCTTTAGCCAGTATTCTTCAGTAGATGCTTCAAACTCTACAGCTGCTTTGCATTTCAGTAGCAAGGTGCTACTGAAATAGCTTGATGTTTATGACTCTTAAGCAGGGGTGGGGAATAAGTGGCACATGGACCAGACACAATTCTCCACGGTCAGCCCTTGGTGGGCCACTGATGCTTTATTGACCTGTGCCTCCACAGGTATGCTTTCAGCTCCTTTTGGCCGTGAATGGCTATTTTTGGCCCATGGGAGGCATGGGAAGCAGCATGGACTGGGATACCACTTCCCGCAGCTCCCATTGGCCGGGAATGGCGATCTGCATCCAACAGGAGCTGCAAGTGGTTATACCTGCAGACATGAAGGTAAATAAATGGCTGGTAAGCTGCCTCTAGCTTATTGCCCACCCCTGCTCTTAATTATCTCAATTTTCAAAAGGTGGATTAGTTAGTCCCATTTTATAAAAGGGAATGTGAAGCAAGGTAAGGCATAGTGACTTGCCCAATGCCACACAAGAAGTATGTGATTGTCTGGTCCATGATTGGAGCTCCTGCGTACTACTGCAATACAAATAATAATAGTAAATAACTCCTGATCTTCAGGTTCACAATACTGTATTTTAACTACAAAGCTATCTGTCAGTTTGATGGTATTGGAGAAAGATATTAGGAATATAAAAGATTAAACAGTTATCTGGTAAGCATTAGCCTTATTCGCATGCTTACCAGTTAACTGGAGGATCTGGCCGCTGGGAGAAGCAGCACCCTTGCTGCAGCAGGCTACAAGGTCAGAACAGCTCCCTCACCTGTGACCAGTAGTTAGCCGATTAAGCAATTTGTTTAACTGGTTGGATGTCTTTCAGATGCCCCAGAGGGAGGGAACACAACAGGTAACCCTCACGTGATCCCTGCCCTGTCACCCACAGAGGAAATTAGTTTAGCATAGAGAACCAGACCTAGGTGCTTTCTTTGAAAAATACCAGTTAAAAGATGGTTGATGTATTCTAGATTACCTTCAACTTCTAACTGTTAGGGTAACCTTGAGCTGGGCATATTACAATAGTCTAATCTTAAAGCAATGAAGACATAATATAGCAAGGTCTCCATCCAAAATGAGATTGCACTTGCCAAGTGCAGATGGAAAAAATATACTCTGACTAGGAATGTAACAGTGTAGTCGATTAACTGATAAGCAAAAGCTTATAGCTAATGTTATAGACTTCACACATTTTCCCCTCTCCTCCCACTCCCTGCCAGTAAGTTTTTAGCAGGTTGGCCAGCAGCCCAGCTTAGTCCCAGCTTGCGCTGGTTCCAGGACCTACCCTTGCTGTGGCTCTGCATTTAAAGTGTGTTAGGAGCCAGGCCGGTGGGCAGCCCAGCTCAGTTCAAGCTTGTGCGGGTCCAGAAGCTCAGACCCTCTCCGGACAGTGGCTGCTACCACCCTGTGTATCAGAGGCAGCAGCACGGGATGACAGGCAGCCAGTCCACAAGGGGAGCTGGTACAGAGGAAGCAACACAGAGTGGCAGGGGGCGCCTCAGGAATGGGGCACCCTGCTTGCCTGCCTGACCCACCCCCAGGGACTATAGAATAATCAAGTAACCAATAAGAATTCATTAGGTTAATTAACTGTTCAATTAACCAATATTTAATATCCCTAACTCTGACATGACTGGGATCTGGTGGTCAGGTGAACCCTAGAGTATGAGAAGATGCTTAAATGGCAAACAACTTTCATAGTGACCATTTAGTTAGTGGTGATTTGACTTGTCGTAGCACTCATTCAGTTTTCTTAACCAAGTCCCAATTAATGTTGTTTCTGTCTTGTCAACATGAGCCTCAGTCAGCTATTCATTTGGCCAAACTCAAGTAGACACAGGGTCATCCATTTCTTTTTATTATTAGGATCACCATAAAGATGTTATATAATTGATTACCATTAGCATGCAGTTGTGGTAAGATATGTAAAGAAGAAAAAACCCAAAGCCCCCAACAGGGTGTACTTGTACTATAATTTCAAGTAGTTATCCTATCATACCAAATAATTCACGATCCAGAGACTGGATTATATCTGTATTGAATGATTGTCTTCTTTTTGTTAAAGGTGCAGAGCATGGAGAATGATGAACTTCCGCCAGAGGATGGGATGGATTGGTGTGGGGTTGTATCTGTTAGCAAGTGCTGCAGCTTTTTACTATGTCTTTGAAATCAATGAGACTTACAACAAACTAGCACTGGAGCACATTCAACAACACCCTGAAGAGCCAAGAGAAGGAACCACATGGACACACTCCTTAAAAGCACAACTGCTGTCCCTGCCTTTTTGGTTCTGGACTATTATATTTTTAATACCATATTTACAGATGTTTTTGTTCCTTTATTCCTGTACAAGAGCTGACCCCAAAACCGTGGGGTATTGCATCATTCCAATCTGCTTGGCTGTTGTTTGTAATCGGCACCAAACATTTGTGAAGGCCTCTAATCAGATTAGTAGATTACAGTTGATTGACACTTAATTCAATCTCTGGTTTGAGCTATTTCTGGAACACCACCTATGTCTGACCTAATCATAAGACTCAGCTTCTGAATGGAAGGTCCTTTCCTTTCAAACTGCTAAATACTGAAGAGTAGCTGCTTTATACTTAGTGTTTTTTAAAGTATGGATCCATCTGAATAGCAGAGCCCTGTGAGAGACTTGATGGGAACAATTCTCATTCTGCCTTATGATGCAAAATTGCCATCTTCCTTCTGAAGTATTCTGTGGGGGAAATATACTTCTGCAATCATACTCCACTGTGCAAAAAAATTACCTGCAAGCTTTCCCTTTGAATCGATGAAAATGGACACTTTTGTGATAAATGTGAAAGATTAGAACATGCTGATAAAAAGCTGCATTGAACACATTACTTTGCTTTCTCCTTTTTTTTAATAATATTGCATTCTTACAATTCTGAATTACAGCCACTCTGAGTTACGAACCAACACTTGGTCCGTAACTAGAACTGTTCGTAACTCGGACCCTATTGAGTTACACGCGACCGCGCTGTTCGTAAGCGCGGGTCGCGTTCGTAACTCGGGGACTGCCTTTACGATTGCTGCATGGGAGCTTTGGTCGTAAGTGTGAACGGTCATAACTCGACCGTTCGCAACTCAGGGAGCGGCTGTATCCTTTTTAAAAAGAGATGAGAATGAATTATGTAGCGAGGAGAGAGTTTTTCTCTGTCATAATCACTGAGGGTGCATCTAGATAGTGGCACCATTTCAAGATACTTCCAGTGTCCTGAAAGTGTTTTCCATGTCTTGACCGCGTGCCCATTATTTTGAAATAGCTTTCGAAATAACAGGCACTCTATTCTGAGGTCCCTGTAAACATCGTTTCACGAAGATTAAGGGACATTTCTGAATAGCACTCCATTTTGAAATTTGGTATTGTGTAGCCAGCGCCAAGTTTTGAAATAAGCTATTTTGAAATTAACTCGAAATAAGATGTGCAATGTAGGCGCACCTGAGTTAAAAAGGTACATACCACCATATTTTATTAGGCAGAAGTTGGGGAGTGGCCTGGGCCCAAAGGTGTGATGCCTTTAACATCTTTTCACTGATGCCAAAGAAAGGCTGGTCACTGGCCATGGACTAGATTGTACAAAACTAATTTTTCTTCTGTTTCTTTTCCATACTTTTCTCTCAATGGTAACTGAGATCACTACTGCTAAGCATTGTTACCCAAGTGAAATTAAAACAACTTTTGATTATCAGCTGTTCATGGGGGAAATACCATGAAAATGGGAGAATAAGCTGTGTCCAGCTCTTGCTGGAAAATTAGGGAGATACAAACAAAAGGCTATAAGGATATTCAATCTTTCAAACAGTACACAAGTGGGCTAAATAATTTCACTCATACCAAGTACAAGATTTCTTATTTTCCAAAAACATGTTAAGTGTTACTGCTGGTTGTCCTGTATCTTCATTTCAATCTACATTTTTAGTGACCTTTTTGGCATAACAGGTAATTCTTACAATTGGGTTACCTTGCTATTAATTCAGAAGCATAAATTCAAAGGTCAGAAGTGATTGTGATAATATAGTCTGACTTCCTTTTTAAATCAGAGCCCATTTGTAAATATTTTTCCTCATGAAGGTACTTACAGACTGTAAACCACAAACTCCTTATCTTTTTGGTAAAAGAGATTTGCTCAAGTCATTGTTTCCTAGCATAGCATCTCAGTCCTCCAAGGACAGCTTTGCATTACAAGGACAGGTTGATCTAAGAGTGTAACTCAAATCAGTGTAGCTTAGATCTATTTTACCACAAGGTCTGCACTATGGGAGAGTCAACAATAAAAACTCTTCTGTTGTCAACTCATCTCATTCTGATGGAGTACTGGAGTTAACCAGGAGAGTGATGGGTAGTCAGGTTAGCTGATCTTTATTAGACTTGCTAAACTGACCTCGGGATTGATTACTGAAGTGTCAACCCACCCCATAATTGAGACAAGCCTTAAGTATAACCTACATTTTGTTTCTAGATACAGACATTTAGCCATATTAAAACTAGGGATGTCAATGGTTAACTGGTTATTACACTTAATGGGTGATTGTTACTACTTAACCTGGGGCCTGGCTGGGCTGGAGCAGCTCCCAGCCTGCTGTGGCACCAGCCTGGACAGAATAGCCCACCCTATTTAAGCACCTAAAGTGTTAAACATAATTAACCGATTAAACAGGATTTTGCAACCTCCACTTAAAATACACGTTGCTTGTGCTCAGTTTCCCAAACAGTCATCAATTCTGAATCAGTGACCTGTCCTCTTGATTATTTCCCACGCCCCCAATTTGTGTATATTTCTAATGTTTCAGTAATTTTGTTTTCTTCCAGGTTACTGACAGTTTAAATGCAGTATGGCAAGGACCTCATTAGAAACACATCCATTCAATGATTCCCTATCAAATTGAACTATCCTGTTTCAGCATGCCATACAAATAGCTCCTTTTGGTTCTAATGTATGGGTTCCCAAACGGGGGCATGTGGTGACCCAGCCCACCCCTTAAATCCCACCACCCTAAGTTTTGCAGCTATTTTTGTTTTTTGTCCCCAGTCAGTTATTTGTTTTTTTGCTCAAGTTTTGCTGTTATTAGGGAGGGGGAGCATGAGAGTCTCTCAAAAATCAAAAAGGAGGCATGATGCTGAAAAGTTTGGGAACCACTGTTCTAATGGAACTTAGTTTCTATCATTGTTGCACATTTCAGAATGGAAAGGGGTAACTAGTGGTGTCCCCCAAGGGTCAGTCCTGGGACCAGTCCTTTTCAACTTATTCATAAATGATCTGGAGAAAGGGGTAAGCAGTGAAGTGGTAAAGTTTGCGGATGATATCAAACTGTTTAGGATAGTCAAGACAGAAGCAGACTGAGGGATTCCAAAAATCTCACCAAACTGAGTGATTGGGCAGCAACAATGGCAAATGAAATTTAATGTGGATAAGTATAAAGTAATGCATATCAGGGAAAAATAATCCCAACTAAATGTACAGTATGATGGGGGCTAATTTGGCTATGACAAATCAGGAAAGAGATCTTGGAGTTATCGTGGATAGTTCTCTGAAAACTTCCACACGTTGTGCAGCGGCGGTCAAAAAGGCAAATAGGAAGCTAGGCATTATTAAGAAAGGGATAGAAAATAAGACCCAGAATATCTTACTGCCCCTGTATAAAACTATGGTACGCCCACATCTTGAATACTGTGTACAGATGTGGTGGTCTCACCTCAAAAAAGATATTTTGGCCTTGGAAAGGGTTCAGAAAAGGGCAACAAATGATTAGGGGTTTGGAATGGGTCCCATATGAGGAGAGGTTAAAGCGACTGGGACTTTTCAGTTTAGAAAAGAGGAGACTGAGGGGGGATATGATAGAGGTCTATAAAATCATGAGTGGTATGGAGAGGGCGGATAAAGAAAAGTTACTTATCAGTTCCCATAATAGAAGAACTAGAGGTCACCAAATGAAATTAATGGGTAGCAGGTTTAAAACTAATAAAAGAAAGTAGTTCCTCACACAGCATGTAGTCAGCCTATGGAACTCCTTGCCAGAGGAGGCTGTGAAGGCTAGGACTAGAACAGAGTTTAAAGAGAAGCTAGATAATTTCATGGAGGTTAGGTCCATAAAAGGCTATTAGCCAGGAGATAGAAATGGTATCCCTGGCCTGTTTGTCAGAGGCTGGAGAAGGATGGCAGGAGACAAATTGCTTGATCATTGTCTTCGGTCTACCCTCTCTGGGGCACCTGGTCATGGCCACTGTCGGCAGACAGGCTACTGGGCTGGGTGGACCTTTGGTCTGACCCAGTACTGCTGTTCTTAAGTTGAGGAGTGCTCACTAACCAAACTCAGTAGCAGATTGCAAGAGCACCATTTACCCACTGAGAACCCATTGTTTGGCAAACACTAAATTTTTCTAACCCTTGTCAAGATAACCTGAATGTGAAATCAGTACAGGACTGCATCTTCTAGAAGGCAGAAGCAGTAGGCCCAAGACAGGGAGTTTATATGTCTTTTTATGTTACTTATGTGTGAACTCCATTAGAATGATCTGCTGTAATGCTATAGCAGAAACATCCTGATTCTGTGACTGCATGGATGTTAGGAGACTACAGTTACTTCTCCTTTCAGCATTATTTAAGACTACTTGTCTTGGGCCTACTACTTCTGCCTTCTAGAAGACTCAGTCCTGCACTAATCTTTCATTTACATTTGGAGAAATTGTTTGGTGTGGTTTTTAAATGCCAGCAGTGGTGCTAAGAACTGAACATGGGACCAGAAGCAGAGCTTTAATAGCCTGAGCTAAATTTCTCACTATCAGTTTTAACCTATATAAAGTTATTTTCTATACTTCTAAAATGAGTATCCTACTGTCTATCTTTTCATAGGGTCCCATGCATTCACCACAGAATAGTTCCATTCACTGAAATGGCAACAGATGTCTAGCACTACCTTGAATAATTCCTTTTGATAGTTTCCTAGTTAAACTATCAGGATATTTCTATGCATTGGCTGGTAGAAATCCCAAATAGTCTGGTTGTTTCCACAGTACTTTGTAGAATGTTTCTCTACCTACATTCCTGGACAAGCAAACCATGTCAAGAAGGATACATGGCTCATGCAACCTCTGTCTTCAACTCTGAAAATTCAGTCTTGTTCAACAAGTTTTAATTATTTTCTCTTATAACCTATTGAATAAGAGTTTGATCCATGGTGCTGATAGGTCTGTAATTTTAAAAATATACACTGAAGTTGCCAGGCATAAAGAAATTAGATCTATGCCTCTGTAGGTAGGAGTCTTTGCAAAAGAATGGCTTACAAAAGGAGGAAGCTACAAAAAGGGAAGTCTGATTCAGTGTCAAGCAATCAAGTGGCCTTTCACAGATCAGTCATCACTTCTGTATAATAGGCTGAGCCTTTTTGGATGGGGACAGCATACAGTAATAATTTCAGCAGTTGATGTTCATGGAAGAAAGCAGAATTATCTATCTACTGGATCCAAAACATATCTACACTGGAAATAGCTATGCACAGAAATGCTTGAGCATTAACATAATTGAAGCTATTTATTGAATATTTATTTGATCCTAAGAGGGCTAGTGCTGAGATTGTTCAATATTTTTGTCCTTCTACTGTCCACACCACTTCTGACGGGGTTAGACAACAGGATCATAGAAAAAGCAAGGAATTAGTAACTACTTTTTCTAACACCAAGGGAGTTGTCACAGACATTCTTAAAATACAGAGTAGGTAAATCAAAATGAAGATCAAGTTGTCTAAAACATGGCTATTAGATACTCCCTAATGAGTTACTAGGGAGTTCTTGCATTCAAGTTAAATCTAGTAGCTTTTAGCATAGATTCTTTCCTCTAGA